GCGGCGGCATATTTACTGGCGTCGCTCACAGAAAAAAATAACGCCGACGCCCAACAAGACTGCGAAGGAGGCTATGCCAAGTCGGTGGAATCAAAAAGTCTGAAGAGTAAGCCCCCTGTGAATAAAAAAAAAACAACTTTAAATGGAGTCTGTCTTTCAAGTTGTGCTGGTCTGGTACTCGCACAAAACTTACTTTAAATGAATAATAAACTGTTGGATATACCAATTACTAAGTACCTAACACCAGTTCGGTAGAACAAGAAGAAGAAATAGTCATGCCTTCAGGTACCAGAGTTCTCAACCGAGGATTGGGGTGTTCAAAAATGCGTTTTTTCCTTGAGATATTGTAGAATTCACTCTCACCATGTACAGTAGGGGCATCATCACTAGATAGCTTTTAGATGCTAAAGGTGCAAGTAAAGTTGCTGTGCTACGCCGACGGGCGGTTATACAGAAGGAATTGGGGTAATGCTCTAGCTTGACGGATAGGTGAGATATAATTGCAGAGGAAAAAATGTTGTGTTTCCGGTTTCCGTCCTAAAAACAGAGGGTTGGTGTAGGTAGGGGTTCTCTTTCCTTATGTTTAGGTCAATGACCCGGACCAGTCGACTGTCGACAGTATGGTAAGTGGTGAAGTAGTAGACAGCACCAGTTTGTTTGAGAGTGGATTCAGCACCAAGGACAGGTATGTGTTTGTTTGAGTTTGGATGGTGTTCAGCACCAGGCACAGCTATGTTTGCTTGAAGGTGAATGGTGTTCAGTACCAAGGACAGGTGTGTTTGCTTGAGTGATGACAACACGACAGGACAGGTATTTCCTTGGTAAGTGGTTGAAATAGGAAGTTAATGTTGATTTGAATTTTCCATATTTCCCATGTCCATATCAACTTATAAATAAAGACTACACACCTGGTTTTAATCGTTATTGAATTTCAATTGTTGAGGAAAGGATGACAAAGTGTAAAATATGTTGGTCATGAAGGCTGTGTCTGGCATTTCCAAACCTTGTAAAATAGTACACCTCCAGCTCTTTTTCCCTACGCCAGTAAACACACCGTTCATTAATGACATCTGGCGGAACATATGAAAAGTGCAGGATGTTGTTCGTGATAACGGTGCAGGGGTCAATGTCATCGTCACAGAAATTGCAAGGTTTCTGTCGGTACACAACCGTCTCATAGAAGGTGTTGGTACGTATCTATATGCGTTTTTATTCGTTCTTGCAAAGATGAGGTCAGATGCGTGTGAGGACGGTGTGTGACCTAGTAGGCGCACCCCGTCATGCCTTAGTGACGGAAGTCATGTGACATACCGAGGTGCCAGCTACGTGTTGGAGGGGACGAACTGCTTGGTCCGCTGCTGCCCTACAGAAGTTGTAGGGTGAAAAAGGCTGTCGTAATGAAGAATACTTCAAGTTAACGTAAGTCTGAAGAGCTAACGTTACGTGTCTTCCGTGTAGGAAGTGTTGACAGGGCAGAAGAGTCCTAGGTAGACCGCCTCTCCAGGTACAAGACAGGTGTAACTGTGGGAGGGCAGGTCATGGTACGTCTTGTCTAAAACCACTAAGTTTTGTATCATAATTTCAGTGCAGGTTTTGTCATGGATTGACCATAAAAACGATTCTAAAAACCGTCGTCCTTCTCGTACGTAAGTTGATTTATGAGATACCTTGAGGATACCTTGAGGATGGATTGGTGGCTGGAGGCGTCGCCTGTTGTGCCACCCTCTTGTCATTCCAGGTACTTCCTTTCCTCCCAACACATGGTCCAACCTTGACTTGAAGGCATTTACAGACTCTGCCTCTACAACAACCTCTGACAAGGAGTTCCACTTGTTTACTGTCCTGACACTAAGGGAATTTCGCCTAACTGTGGACTTGGCCAGGGGCACAGCCAACTTGTAACAGTGGCCTCTAGTTACTTGCTGGTTTCCAAGGTGGAAGAAAAGCTCGGGATCTACTCTCTCCTTCCCTGTGAGAAACTTGTAGACCTGTATCATATCTCCCCTGTCTCTTCTAAACTTGAGTGATGGAAGCTTCAGCTTCTTAAGCCTCTCACTATATGGGAGTGTTCTAAGTGAAGGCACCAACTTGGTGGCCCTATGCTGCACCTTCTCCACTAGCTTCTGATCCCCCTTGAAGTGTGGACCCCAGACTGTGTTAGCATACTCCAGGTGTGGCCTCACCATGGACTTGTACAGCAGCGGCACAGTTACTTCGTCCAGGTTAGAGAATGTTCTCTTGACTAGACCAAGCACTTGATTGGCCTTCTGGGTTGCCTCAGCAGTGTTTACATGGAAACTTAAATGCTCGTCCACTTGCACCCCCAAGTCCTTTTCCACTTCAGTGTGTTGCAATACTTGCCCCCCCAGACGGTAGTCGGCTCTCTGATTCCCTCTCCCAAGGTGTAGAACTTTGCACTTCCCTGCATTAAAAGGTAGTTTGCCACACTGCTGACCAGGTTCTCTACTGCTTGAAGGTCATGCTGTAGGGAATCCTGGTCATCCTGCGAGCAAATGGGCCTGTAGATCTTGCTGTCATCAGCAAAGATTTTCACTGAGCTGCTCACAACGTCAGGAAGGTCATTGATGAAAATCACGAACAAGGTGGGTCCGAGAACGCTCCCCTGGGGGATACCACTGCCAACGTCTCGCCACGTGGACTGCACTCCGTTTATCACCACCCGCTGTTTCCTGGCCTTGAGGAAGCTCCTCATCCACATGAGGATGTTCCCCCTCACCCCATACGCTTGGAGTTTCACCAACAACCTCTCATGAGGGACTGAGTCGAAAGCTTTTTTAAAGTCCAAGTAGACACTGTCCACGGGTTCCCCCCTCTCTAGGTACTGTGACCAGTCATTCATGACCACGAGTAACTGCGTAGTACATGACCTTCTCGGGACAAAGCCGTGCTGGGAGTCTGTGAGTAGACTGTTATCCATGAGGTGTTTAACCAGTGCATCCCTAATGATGGACTCCAGTACTTTAACTACAACAGAAGTCAGACTCACGGGCCTGTAGTTCCCCGGCTCTTGTCTGCTGCCCTTCTTGTGAATGGGGGTTATATGCGCCACTTTCCAGTCCTCTGGCAGTAGACCACTGTCCAATGATTTCCTGAAAATGACTGCTAAAGGGTATGCCAGGACTTGTGCTAGTTCCTTGAGGAGCCTAGGGTGTAGACCATCTGGTCCTGCTGACTTTGTCGGATTTAACTCAGTTAACTTCCCTCCCACAGTCTCTTCATTTATGTCCAGCCCTTCCAACATGGAGTTTACTACTCTCGCCGGCATACTAGGGATGTTAACAGTGTCCTCATTTGTGAAGACACTGGCAAAGAAGTCGTTAAGAACCTCTGTCTTATCCTGTTCCAATAAGGCCATAGACCCATCAGGTTTAACTAGACTACCAATCTTCGGCCTTGTACTGAGGCGAGACTTGGCATACTTCCAAAATGCTTTGGGGTTGTTTTTGAGGTCCTTGACCAGTCTATGCTCATAATCTTTACATAACTGTCTTGTTAGACTCCTAAGGTCATTCCTGATGCTTGCAAACTTTCTAAAATCGCCAAGACTACCCGAAGCTTTCCATCTAGACCATGCTCTTTTTTCCTCTTTACTAACAACATTGCATGCTTGCTCATGTAAAGTTTGTTTGGTTTCTGGACTGCTTTAGCCATTGGGATGCATTCATCAGTGACCCCTTCAAGGATCTCACAGAACTTCGCCCATGCTTCGGGTACTTCCAAATGATTCAGCTCAGCGTCCCAGTCAGTAGCCCCAAGGTCTTCCCTTGCCTTCTGATAGTTACCCTTGTTGTAGTTGCGTCTTGCTACTGTAACAGGTGTGGCGTCTGCCCCACAGTTGATGTCAAACAACAAACAACAGTGATCCCCCTTTCCCAGACCAGGTTGGTACTTCACTTCTCCGACTGTGAGTTCTTCATTTGTAATTACCAAGTCCAGTACGGATGGAGTTTGATTCACCCGGTAACGAGTAGGCTCGCATACATGTTGAGTTAAGAAATTATCATCCAAGCAGTCGAGAAGGAGTTGACAGTGATGGCTGGAGCCTGCTGTTGCTAACCTGGACTTCCAGTCTATTTCTCTCAGGTTACAGTCCCCCATAACCACTATGTGCTCGGCTCTCTCACTATACACTGTGGATAGAAGTTCACATAGTTTGGTTGTACTAGCTACCGGATCTGAGGACGGGCTACGGTACACACATCCCACTATAAGAGTGTCTTTCTTCCCCGTTTCACATTTCAGAAACAAATGTTCTTGAAACCCAACGTCGTTGTAATCCAGTTGCTGCACATTTAAGTTAAGTGACTTCCGAACAAAAATGGTGATTCCCCTTGTACCGCTCCTACCAAGGTTGCTCTCGTCGGGGTCAAAGTTCAGGAAGGCCTCATAGCCTTCCATGTCCAACGTGCACATTCTTAGTGGGTTCACCTGCGCCTTGGGGATAACCTCGGTCAGGACGATCAGATCCACCGGATCGCTAGCAATCCTGAACCTCAGTTCTTCTCTCTTGTTTGGAAATTGATCTGTATTGGTGTATAAGACCTTTAGCGTACCAGTTCTACCCCCTACCGAGTCTCTTCCCTCATGTGTGTACTTTGACCTGTCCTCGTTGCTTTGTCAGAAATGCTGCTTGTCTCTTTCCCCCATGTGACTACATTGACTTTGACGTCTTACTTCTCTCTGCTGGCGACTAATTTCTCTCTCCCTTCTTGTTAAATCCGGTGCTATGAATATGTTAGAAAAGTTACTGCTGTGATTAAGACATTTGGCCTCCTTTAACAGATGGTATCTGTCCGATGTGTCAGTGAGGGTTACTAGCAGAAGTCGATTCTTGTCAGGGAGACGTTTGCCTAGCCTGGTTGTCTTCTTAATACCAATGTTTTCCAGCCCAAGCTCACTGGCCACACTGCGTGTGAATTCTATGTCATGGCTAGCTTTACCCTGCTGATCTAAACCCGTATGCTCAGGTACGTTGTGGAGAATCACATTACTCTTTCTACGAGATAAAACATTAATATCGCTGTCCAGCGTAATAAAATTCTAAAGACCTGTGGGAGGGGGGCACTGTACTGTGGACGTTTCGTAGCCGAAATTCAATCTGATTCTATCAGTTATAACGGACTACAAAGAACAGGTACCTCTCGGTACAAGGTGTAGATGTCAACTATCTTGTGAAGGCAAGCAATGAAATTCAAGGTGTCTCCTGTAAAGGTGCAATCTACCTCGTACGTTCGTAAGGCCTATGGGGATTTTTATGACCCCAAGATCACTCACTTCGACGTGGTAAAAAGTAGTAGGGTGCACTTCACAAACACACAAAACCAATGTTTAGGTACAAACTACAAAATATCAAAACAAAATGTTCGGTTGGCACGCACACCACTAGTGTTGCCTTTTGTGCATTTGCCACCCACTTTGAAATGGCAACCTGTGGAGGTCAAAAGAACTGCAGTCAAAAGCCAGTTATGTAATATGGCACATTGTGTGCCCCAACTGGAAAATCCTAACAATCCAAATCATACAGTCTCAAACCCGACACATTCCTATACCACACAGTACAATTTACTGTGCACCTGGCTGACGCTTACATGAGACTTCGAATTCTACCCGTTATATATATATTGTTCGTTCTATTTCGTATAACCCATCATACCACCCCGGGGTCCTGCTTTAATACTGTGTTCTTGACTGTGCCCTTGATGTTAAATGGCTGAAACTTTTTTGAAGTCCTCAGGCACCATAATTGATTATATACCACCTTAAAGACTATACGTTAGTATAACACAGCCTTGGCTCTGTCTATATAATGTCTAGTGCTAGTTTAGGGAAAATAATGTTATTTTCCTCATGTTTGTACATGTAGGTGAGCACAGCTAGACGCTTATGAAAAGATGTCCAAGTCTACTCTACTAAAGGTGGTACTACTGGGGGATGGTGGGGTCGGGAAAAGCTCGCTCATGAACAGATTCGTCACTGACAAATTCGACAGTCAGTCCTTTCACACGATCGGCGTAGAATTTCTAAATAAAGACATCGTGGTGGATGGAGAGAGTTTTACGCTCCAGATATGGGACACCGCGGGCCAGGAGAGGTTCAAGAGTTTGAGAACGCCGTTCTATCGTGGCGCGGATTGCTGCTTGCTTACCTTCGCACTGAATGATGTACAGAGCTTCAAGAACCTGGGGATGTGGAAGAAGGAGTTTCTTTACTACGCGGACGTGCGCGACCCGGACAACTTCCCGTTTGTCGTGCTGGGGAACAAGTGCGACATGACGGACCGCGAGGTCAGCACGGAACAGGCGGAGGCGTGGTGCGGGGAGAACGGGGACTTGCCGCTGTACGAGACGAGCGCGAAGGACGCTATCAACGTGGACACGGCGTTCACGGCGGCCGTGCGGCGGCTGGTGAGGCTGGAGGAGAGAGTGGAGGCAGGTTACGGGAACACGGTGGACCTGAACGCACAGGCCAAACAGTCATCCTGCTGCTGAGTACTGACCTGTAGCCCAGAGAGGAACAGGAATAGACCAGTTCACAATCCCACAGACTAGAAAACCTGCTTACATCACTGGGTATAATGACTACATCATTTCTGCCAAGATTCAAATGGACTTTGCATTAAAGGGGCACTAAGAAACATTTTTTGCACCAAAAATTGACCTATTTTCATTGAAAGAAAACCTTCATGTGATGTGATGTGTCAATGTCATTTACTTCCACTTCTCAACATATTTGTGCAATTTTCTCCAATTTCTGGCATTCACGATTGACGCTAAAACAGCCCTCACAAGGCGCACTCATTTTGTGGTACCACCACAAAATACCAGAATGTAAACAAACATGTCAAACTGCTGTGTTTCCAGCTTTTAAATACTTGTTGAAATGTTCACTTTTGGCACCTCCAGTTACTGAATCACACTCATTTGCAATGGAGTATGGTTGATTCAACTTACATTCTTACATGTACTTCAATTTGTTTGATTGTTACATAATGCTGCTTTAACATGGAAAACATTTAAGTCCATCAAAGACATTTGGATGTTGGCAGAATCGGTGCAATCATCCCTCGTGACACAAGCAGCTTTTCTAGTCTACAGAATTGTGAACTCATCTATTAACTGAAGTAGATGTACATTCCCCTTTCTAGTCTTACACCATCCTATATGAAGAGGGCACATGAGGACACTGAACAACAACACTTTAGAAATCTGTCTAGCTTTACACCCAATTCTAGTGTCCAATGGCACGCATGGTTTTGATGAAAAAAAGATCATAATAAAATGATGTGATATACTATATGGTTGTACAATTATGCTGAAAACATTTATGTTCTCAACAATAATGTTTTGTTGACATAGTGCCAATTTGAGGTACATGTACCTTTACGTTTTAACCATTGCCAGGTAGCCAATGATGTTTTGCCACACAATCGTAATAACTTGCTTGTGCAAGTGGGTAAAAAATCCAATTTGAATCTGGAACCTATGCCAGAAATTGACAGCACTTTCAACAATTTCTTATCCTGTTCCTCTATTGTTGGTACAAATCACCTATACCATTTTACAAAACCAAAACAGATTTCTCAAGACTACTGCATATCTGGAAGTGCATAGTTTCATAGATTCAACTGCCAATAATATGCTTGGAGATTAGTACATATGATACTGTGGTAGCACGTTGGCAGAACGCACTGTGCCTGCACAAAACCCGCAATTATGTTTTTCATAGCACTTTGGCAGGACGTTTCATTTAAGGTCATCCAATGTATTTGCATATTTAGCTTTAAGGATGACATCCCGACATCCTGTATGTCCATAGTTTCCAGATGTTGTGTCAGAAAATATATCATCTGCAACGGGCAAAATTCTGATGCAAAGTTGACAAAACATCTAACAGAAGCCATGAAAAAAAAAATCTGGGTGTCACGTAGGTGCAGTACGTTCTACTGCTGTGTTTGCTATGGTTATTATATATTTCATAATCAGGGCTCGAAATTTACATGCACAGAAAAATTTTGGCTGCAGAACATGTAGTACAAGGTGACTAAAACCCAGCTAAAACCTACATCTAGATACATGTACAAACCTTGCTCAATTTACTGCAATACAATAAAGGTTTAACTATTTTCTGACAAATGTCAAGATTATATGCTTTATACTGGTGTATGATAGTACTAGCTAAACCCTTATTTATATAATCCTGCACAAATATCTAGGTGAACTGGTGCTCTAACATTTGAAAATTAGGCACACAGCTCCAATTTTGAGCGTACAAAAGTGCAGACATTGTTTGGACCCAGTATTTTGAGCCCTGATATTGCATGTTCCTAAATGGAGACAAATTTTCAGCTAAAGAGTAGCTTTCTTTGTACATGTGGTTAGTAAAGAGCAGAGGTGAACAAGTTTGTTAACAAGTTACAAAATAGTATGGTTCTAGCATTATCTTGGAGTGCAAAAGTCTTGCCCATTTTAACGCTATGGAAACATGAGCTTTTGTTGTTAACATTACAAAACTCTAGGTACCGGTATTCTACATGGAAATAATTATGATATGATAACAAAATTTGCACAATGTACCTGTATTAGTGATTCCTGTATTTGTCAGGTTTGGTAGCAAATTGGCAGAACATACTGCGCCTGTGCAAAACCCATAATATATTTTGCATGTAATACCTACATGTAGCAAAACATCTCATTTAAGGTCGTATTTGCCTATGACAGGGATGACATCCTGTCTAGTTTTCAAACGTTGTGTCAGAAAAGATACCGTTTGCAATGGGCAAAATTTTGATGCAACATTGACCAAACACCCAAGGACATCCTGAGTTTGCACAGGTGCAGGACGCTCTGCCGACATATTAGGTTTGGTTGGTATGGTAGTTTTAAACAGCCCATATTGCTACCTTTTCTGTCAGATAGATTGTTAAGAGTTTTCTGTAAACATCTCTAGCTATAGGCTGTGACTGTTCTGTACCACCATGCAATAATATACACAGGAGAAGCACCAACAGTCTTGCAGTAACAGAAATCAGAATCTTTACATGAAAGGGGATGGACCATTCATATAATGAGGCGTAAGAAAATGCCCCAAAATGGCAAAACTACAATTATTGATGTGTTGTGTTTTGAATGTGAGATCTATATAATATTATATTAACAACAGTGTTTGTAGATTTTGTTCAAAAACAAAACCTTATATGATGTACATGTATACAGTGTATGTACAAGCACATTAACATATCACCCTCCCCCTCATATTAAGAATGTGACATTCTCTGTATTTTTCAAGCAGAACCTGAAGTACTTAAAAATTGTTCCTATACAATTGTACAGTACATGTATGATTATGAACTTGCCGAACCTTAAGCATGCTCAGATCATGAGGAAAATTGTAAGAAATTTATTTTACAAAGAGTTCACGGTTTTGTTCAGTAGTTTACTGAGAATGTTTGTATAATTGTGTGAAATTTGAAACTAATGTCAAGATATGATTATGACCTGTGATTGGAAATGTGGCCTTGATTGAAACATTGTACTGATCGACTACTAGACTAATTGATGTGAAATATTCTTACTGAAGCTTGTTTTGAAAATTGTAGCAGACATTACTTGAATGTGCTGGTATTTATTGGCACAAAATCTACACACATAAATACAATAAACTAAGTCATAAAAGACTTTGGAATGGAATGTCATTATACTTGTTATCATGTGTGCAACAGGTTTTTATTTACAGGGATATTTACAGTATTGTGGTTACCATGCCATAAACCTCTTGGCAATTGTAGATGGGGCAGAAAGTCCACAGAACATACATGTACATGTACTGCACCTGTGCGAAACCCATAGTGTCGTGTGGATGGCACTTTGCAGAATGTCTCGTTTAAGGTCGTATTCACCTTTTAAGAATGATGTCTCGTCTATTATTTTGCAAATGTTGTGTCTGAAAAGATATCTGCAACAGCCTACAGGCAAGATTCTGATGCAATGTTGGCCAGAATTTTACCCATTGCAGCTAGCAATAGTCTGTTATTAAAGTGAATTCAGCTTCTCTCCTCACTTCTCTGTGATAGGCCGAAATGTAGGAATCAGCGTGGCTTTCTGAGGCAAGTACTAGTAGAATTACCCACCACCCCTCCTTTGACCTTTGACCAACCAAAGTCTGCCCCAAGGTCATAGGTGACCTGATAAGTAGGGCAGGGTTGAGTGGTTGTTTAAGAAGTGTGCTCATCATGTGATGTGTGACTCAGGGCTCGAAATACTATATAGGTGCACAATGCACTTTTGAGTACCCCCAAATTCGAGCTATATATGGTCATTTTTTTAGTGTGTGCACATACATATTTGTGGAGGGTTACGTATGTAAAGGTACTATGATAATCATGGTATTGTTCACTAGTGTACATTATTAAAAACATTAGAGGACACTGACAGTCATCACTCATCTTCAACAAGAGAATGTCAGGAAAAATAATAAAATCTGTTGTATTCAACTTGTTTCAAATTTTGAAGCTATATAATTATATAGAATTTCAGATAAAAGCTCTGAAGAGCAGTAATAAGGTTTTGCTGACATTCTACTTTTTATGTTTTATTATTTTTTTGAGCACCTATATATTTTTTGGTTAGTTACACAATGTCATATTCACAGAAATGAATTTCAAGCCCTAAGACCTCAGCTGTGTCAAACCCACTTGCACAACAAGGGTGAACTTTGTACCAGGGTTTATAGTGATGGCAGGAAGTTAGGATTGGCTACTCATCAGAACTGTTGCCCTGAAGAAGGTGACAGTCACTCACTAAAATGTTGGATGTGAAAACCTCAAGTTCTTGAATAAAGAACATTCTTATAGTCTCTTTCCAACCTGATTAAATTATTCACGGTTCATGTTGAACAGTTCTGGTATGAGTGAAATGACCAGTCAACAATATGAGGGAGAGACATCATCATGTATTTGGCACCTACAGTAAAAATGTACACACAGTAACATGGTAACAAGTGTCACAAGTCCTGTATACTGCTAGAGTCAGCACCAAAAAGTAAGACTTTTGAGCACCACAGATCTAAACAAACTTAAACTGCAACATATCATCTGAGCTGAAGTCATATTATCCTACTTTTATAATGATCAGATTCAGAATAAATTTTAACCATGTCGTTAACATCTAGTTATTCAAAAACGTCAACATTATCTTCAAATCTTCTTGGTCAATATTACATGTACAATGGTACAACGTATACTGCTGCAAAAAGCTTTTCTTTCCAGTATGAAATAGCTTGCTACTTGAAGTTCTAGTGTCAATCTTTGAGACACGTATCTGGGATTTCTGATGTAGGTTGGCACAATTAACTATTAAATGTTCGTCAATAAGGTTTTTAAAAATTCTTTTATGGTTTTAGAGTCTTGTGTAAACTTTATTTTAATTTTTTGTCTTAAACATATTTAACTGATAAAAAAATGATCTGTGCATGAGACATCTGCTTGTTCAAACAAAAAACTCAGTAGAAAAGTTAACATACATGTACAATGGAATTAAATTATGTACACTGTATACACGGTCAGTCTTGTGCAATATAAGAACAATGGCGTCCAGAATCAAAACAACTGAGTCAGCAGCCTATGTATCAGTGATTAATCTGAATTATTTCTTTGAAAGTAATATTCAAATGCGCATACTGTTTCTAACTGCAATTATATAACATTTACATCATGAGAAACCTGTTATCCTTGGTGATAACAAACATACAATGTATGGCACAATACGGTATTGTCTAAACCAGGAAAGCTCTGTTTTTTGCTAAGCTTTCTAAAATGCAACATTGTAGTATTTTACGTCAAACTGGTAGAACAAGAAGGACTGTGGCACCACTATGAGAAGCATGATGTTTCAAAAATAAACATATATGAGCATAAAAAGCAACTTTTCTCTAGAATGTATATGCATGTACATGGCTTCTTGCTGTCTAATGTAAGTTTTGTTTTATCAAGATGCACTCATAGAGTATAAACTAAGGTCTTTCACAGCAAAGTTGACAAATTCATCATTACATAGACAGAATGTACTGCACTGAGTTAAACCTGTCCTAACACTTCAGCAGAACGTCTTGCGCATATTGTCTGCGACGTGCAAAATTCTGATGCTACGTTGACCAAACATCCAAAAAAACCATGAAAATTTGGGTTTTGTGCAGGTACAGTGCATTCTACCATCATACTGTATAAAGTCAAGCATTTCAAATTTTACATTCACCAAAAGAAAAAGTCAACTTTAAGTGTAATGCTCTCAGAAAACTTCATTTTTTTGACAATAATGTATGTTTGATTCAAAACATTTGTACTGCTGTAAACATCTTCCTTGCAAATACAAAGTTTTTTTCTTTCAATTTCCCACTGATTGTAAAATATCAGTCCTAGTCTTTCCTTTGTCCAATCAAAAGTCTGCATTTGAACATTAATCAAAGACAGCTCCTTATGATTAATAATAAGGCCACATCAGTTTAGTGGTTATTAGATGTTAAAAATATGCTTAAAAGCACCCAATGCAATTTCAGGGCAGTAAACCTGGATTTTCAAAGTCAAGTTTCTTGTCACTTTTTTATTGTAGTAAGTTGAATCAATCCTATCCCATAGCATATGATATCTGTGAGGCAAAAATGCAATGTTGCTGACGGAAAATGGTTGAAACTTGCTTGTCTCATACTCTGGCTTCTAGGCATTTATTGGTGGCAGGCTTTTAGCTAGGATTTTTTTGTTGGGTGTTCATTTTTTTTATTGTATGCTATGCCCAGTGAAGACACGCGGTGCGCAAGCTTTTTAAGGTGGCTTTTTTTAAATTCATAATGCTCTCAAACACTACTTTCTGCATTTTGAGGAATTTTTTTCTTCAGTAAACCATCACTTTTGTATTCATAGTGAGGCTGAAGGAAGGCATGTGTGTGTGGCAAGGGTTGGGAGTGGAAAAAATAGGGCGTCTTTAGGGTGTCCTACCAAAAAGTAGGGCGTCCAATTTCTTATTATTTTCAGTACAGGGCGTCCAAAAGACACCCTGGACACCCCCTAGCTAAAAGCCTGATTGGTGGTACTTATTGGGGTTATTTCAAATGCTTCAAGTATGGAATGATTTGGTTTGGTTTGGTTTATTTAGATCCACAAATGATGACGAAAATGTGCTAAGAAATGGCAGTAAATGTGCTAAGAAATGGCAGTAAATGTCAATATTAAACAGTATTTAATTATCAAGAATATTTTTGTATTGCTGCCCTAAAATTGCAATGGATGCCTTTGACTGTAAAAAACAAATTCAAAAACAAAACCAGTGGAACGGATTCATGCCTTGTTGCACCCAGTTTTATGGAGTTTTCCTCCCTGCCCCTCTACTTTTGTAACATTGCTGTGTTTCCAACTTAGATCTAAAATGTCTGAGAACTAAAGAAAGAAATGGTGTGGCCTAACACATGTACAGATTCTGTGTCCTTCCTGATTAACACCCCCACAGATCAAATGGTCAGTACCCGTTTGTACCCAGTAGAATAGGTTTAGCAGCTTCCAAGATGTCCAGGGTTGGGGTCCAGGGTCCTGCCCCACGTCCC